CCAGCTCCTCCCCCCCCCGGGGTGAATTCAGCAGCCGAGGGTGCTGTGCCCTGGCCCCCTCCCCTTCTCCCGGGCTTATTGTAGCCCCTCGGCCGTTGCTGCCTGCACGGGGAGCCGTTAATAGACCCTGGACCCGCTCCCACTCGGGGAAGAGCAGCTGCTTTGTTTTATTAATTACCTGAGTCGGGGGGGATTAGTGGGGAGGAGAAGGACTTTGTCTGGAGCTGGCTCGGGCTATTGAGCGCGGCGCTGAGAAGTGGAGCGGTAATTCAGTGTGACAGGCCCAACGTGGGAAAGGTCCCTGCGACGTGAGCGGGTCCCCTAATGAAACCGGCGGGCTATTGAGCGCGGCGCTGAGAAGTGGAGCGGTAATTCAGTGTGACAGGCCCAACGTGGGAAAGGTCCCTGCGACGTGAGCGGGTCCCCTAATGAAACCGGCGCCAGGTGGGGCCAGGCCAGCTCGGCCACGAGGAGATGGTGGCTAACGGCAGCCCACGTCGCGGGGAGAGGGGCTGTGTCCTGCCGGCACCCCCTGCCCGGGGGCAGCCTGCAGACAGCATCCCTCCGTCCCGAGAACCTGCCCCTTTCCTCCCAAAGGCGAGTGTAACCCTCGGGTTGCAGCTGGGGAAACTGAGGCACGGCCAGACTAAGTGATCCGCTTGGGACCCCGGGCAGAGGGACGCCAACGCAGGACTCCAAACCCCACCAATGCCTTGTATCACCTGCCGTGAAGCCAAAAGCAGCTTCTTGCTTTGCGAGGGGCTCTGGAGAAGAGCACAGAAATATTATTTCAAATCAAGTTGTTTGGGAAAAGCTTCCCTGCTCCGCGAGATGCGCCAGGGGGCCGGCAGCCGTGCGGCGATGGCTGCTCTGTCCTCTAAGCCCTTGAACAAGTGGCTGCTGCTGGGTACGGGCTGTCCCACGACCGGCACGCTCCGTCCCTCTCCCTGTGACTCTGCATCTGGCTACCTGATTAGTGCCGCTCCTGTTGCACGCTCGAGATCAAGACCCACC